TTTGACAGTCAAGTACAATGTATGATCTATCATCTAATAGATTTTAGATTTATTGTATTTCCTCTCAATTTTAATGAAGCACGACCCCTCATTAGGGAGTCATTTAGTTTATTTTCTTTGTTCTCCCTTAGCAAGATCCTTAGATTAGGGATCGTGTCATTTTACTTTGATAGTCGGATACTGTAGACGATCAACTTTTTAATATTCCCATTCTCAGACTAGGGATCGTAGGAGAACAATTTTACTCTCTATTCTAATGTAGCGAGATTTCCAGTCTAAATATCGTAAACGCTCTTTTCTGGCAGACAAAAGCATTGGACTACCAATAAGCTTATATAATTGACAGAGCTTTTTTGTTCTCCCTTAGCATAATTCTAAAATAAAAGATGACGTTCGTTTTCGCTTTCCACAGATCGGCGGACAAACTCTTTAAGTGTAATATGTGGTCTTGTGAAGTCCTAAAATCAATATCAGTTTTGAATCCGAGGGTCAGTTGTGATCACATGCGATCCTATAGTTTAACATAGAGACAAAATGATAACCGATATGTACACCAGGGGATCATGATAAAGGAATCCTAGAAGGAATCTTATGCCTATCTCTCTTAATATGGGTAGTACTTAGATAATCCTAGAGTAATCTTGAATGTTGTTTAAATCTGTCCCTTAGTTAATAAATCGATTTGCAGCGAGGGCTTTCAATAGGTTTGGTTGACCAACTTTCATAATTTTCAATTCTATTTTTAGCACAAATTTATTGACTTGAAATAAATCTTTAACGTAGAGCTCAATATGAGTGATGGCGTTATTTAGACCAGAAGATTTTAAACCACTTAAATGTGCACATAATCTTTCACATATACTTTAACAAAAAAATGCATACAAAATTTACATCATGTGTAAGAAGACTGTCAACAATGTTTTCTTTTTACAACCCTTATTATTTTCATACGTTCTTTTTTCCACTTCTGTAGTGATAATTCCCATTTTAAATGATAAAACTACTTAACTACTACTTTTAGCATTTGCTATAGCTTGTCTGTCTTTCCGTCCGTCTGTCTGTCCGTCCTTCCATCTGTCTGTCTGTTAAGTACATACTCTTTTAGCAGTTTCGGTAATGTTGTTGTTTTTGCTGTTGTGAGAGCGTAAATATTTGTGAAATGTCAAAGTGACAAGTGAAATGTGATTGTTTATATAGAAAATGATTTTAATGTAAATACTTGTAGTGAGTAGTAGTAGTAAAGTCGCAATAAAAGCCTAAAAGAATCTTATAATGGAAAATAATGATTGATGTTTGCTTTTTTAAGAGAAAAGGGAACAGGGGGGAGGTTGAAAAAATAATGAAAATTTTCTAAAATTAAACATTAAAGACAAAAGTCTCCTTAATTTGAAATTTAGTTTAACAAATCTGTTATATTTAGTAAACATTTGTGTACTATTCAATTTCCATTAAAATTCAATTAATTATTTTTGCTTATATTACAAAATTTCCTTTTGTTTACTTTTAATATTTATTTATAATTACCTAAATCTAATAACCTAATTTAAAAGGTAATTTTCCAAAAATTTTCTTATTTACTTGTCTGTTAAAATAAACAAATTTTCTTAATTAATGTGTCTTAAGTCAATTTGAAAACAAGAAATTTTATTAATTACTGTTTTCCTTAACAAACAATAACAAAAAAAAATTTGTATGGTGTTAAAAGCAGCTTATCACTTCTTAACACAAAATGATAAAGAATTATTTAAATAGAATTTTTTTCTTTAAAAGAATAAATCAAGAAACAATATATAACAATGACCTCTTAAGTTATCGCCAGTTGAAACTTAAAGCCAGCCCTAGTTAGACAACTACAAAAAACAAAATTGTATAAATAAAACAAATTGCTATAATTAGTTTAAGAAAAGAAAAAAATCCAAAATAATCTAAAAAATAAGATCTTTTCTTGTAAACAATTTAAATAATAACAGTAAGTCCAAGTAGTTATGGTTGCAACAAAAGCAAGTGTGATAAATTAATAACAAATTTACAACAAATTATCTTTCAAAAGTAAAATTTTTTAAAAGATATAACAAAACCATAATACAAACCACAAACGATCTAAACCTAACAATTTAACACTAAAACACATAAGAATACAACACCAGAGAAAGAAAGAAAGCATCAAAAACAGCGAAATATTTTCAAATCCGTAGTTGTGGTCGCAATTGTAATCCAACGTCTAAATGTTAAGATTACAATTGTAACTAGAGTAAGTGTTTGAGTGAAAAGAAAACTGTATTACTAAAGTTTTTTTTCTTATTGAATCCATAAAAAGCAGCAGATACATGTAGTTAAACTCTCACATAAATTAAGTCTTTTTACAAAAAGCTTTAGACAACAAGAGAGACAGAGATAGAGAGAGAGAGTGTAAAAACTGGAATTATAAACAAACAAAGAAAAAAGTGAAACATGTATTAGCAAGCACCAAATAAAGGGAAAACAAATACCAAACCATAGACTAGACTATAGACTAGACTATAGACTAGACTATAGACTAGACTATAGACTAGACTATAGACTAGACTATAGACTAGACTATAGACTAGACTATAGACTAGACTATAGACTAGACTATAGACTAGACTATAGACTAGACTATAGACTAGACTATAGACTAGACTATAGACTAGACTATAGACTAGACTATAGACTAGACTATAGACTAGACCATAGACTAGACTATAGACTAGACTATAGACTAGACTATAGACTAGACTATAGACTAGACTATAGACTAGACTATAGACTAGACTATAGACTAGACTAGACTATAGACTAGACTATAGACTAGACTATAGACTAGACTATAGACTAGACTATAGACTAGACTATAGACTAGACTATAGACTAGACTATAGACTAGACTATAGACTAGACTATAGACTAGACTATAGACTAGACTATAGACTAGACTATAGACTAGACTAGACTATAGACTAGACTATAGACTAGACTATAGACTAGACTATAGACTAGATATAGACTAGACTATAGACTAGACTATAGACTATACTATAGACTAGACTATAGACTAGACTATAGACTAGACTATAGACTAGACTATAGACTAGACTACAGACTAGACTACAGACTAGACTATAGACTAGACTACAGACTAGACTATAGACTAGACTATAGACTAGACTATAGACTAGACCATAGACCAGACTATAGACTAGACTATAGACTAGACTATAGACTAGACTATAGACTAGACTATAGACTAGAGTATAGACTAGAGTATAGACTAGACTATAGACTAGACTATAGACTAGACTATAGACTAGACTATAGACTAGACTATAGACTAGACTATAGTCTAGACTATAGACTAGACTATAGTCTAGACTATAGACTAGACAATAGACTAGACTATAGACTAGACTATAGACTAGACTACAGACTAGACTATAGACTAGACTACAGACTAGACTATAGACTAGACTATAGACTAGACTAGACTATAGACTAGACTATAGACTAGACTATAGACTAGACTATAGACTAGACTATAGACTTGACTATAGACTAGACTATAGACTAGACTATAGACTAGACTATAGACTAGACTATATACTAGACTATAGACTAAACTATAGACTAAACTATAGACTAAACTATAGACTAAACTATAGACTGAACTATAGACTAAACTATAGACTAAACTATAGACTAAAGTATAGACTAGACTATAAACTAAACCATAGACTAAACTATAGGCTAGACTATAGACTAAACTATAGACTAGACTATAGACAGTTCTGTTCTAGTTCTGTATTAGTTCTAGTCAGTCTGTTCTAGTTCTGTTCTAGTTCTGTTCTAGTTCTGTTCTAGTTCTGTTCTAGTTCTGTTCTAGTTCTGTTCTAGTTCTGTTCTAGTTCTGTTCTAGTTCTGTCTAGTTCTGTTCTAGTTCTGTTCTAGTTCTGTTCTAGTTCTGTTCTAGTTCTGTTCTAGTTCTGTTCTAGTTCTGTTCTAGTTCTGTTCTAGTTCTGTTCTAGTTCTGTTCCGTTCTGTTCCATTTTGATAATTTTGTGGGACCAGCCTTGTATTTATGTTTAGTTTACTAGTATTTTTTGTTCGTATTCATTCAATTTTAATACACGATTTATACACAACAAACACGCAATTTTTTATTGTTATTGTTGCTTTATATAAAATAAGCAAAAAACATACAAAATATGAGTATAATGGACAAAGTTTTACGCTTAATATGCTGCATTCATTAGAGTCTGTTTATCAAAATCTATTTATTATTGTTATTATTCCCACAGTGGTGGAGCGGGCAGCAGCGTTGACTTTTGTCAATTGTGTATGATTGTCATTATGTTGATAAACGTTTGACAGGCTTAACAAAAAAACAATCAAACACTCACCCAAACCTAATAATCTTGGAGCTATAGAGTCTATGATATTAATGATTTACAAGAGACCTAGAGAATGAAAAAATGTCTTAATTTATGCGGGCTTTATAGTGTTTGTTTGTATTTTGTGTGTGTGTATGTTTTTTTAGACAGTGTGCAAGTGATTAATACAAATGATTGTTGGCTGTTTGCGCTTAAATTTTTTATAATTTTGTTTTTGTTGATGTTTATTTGCTACATCTTAACTAATGATTAAATATCTTGTAAAAATTGTTCTTTTTTTTTCATTTGTTTATTTAGTTTGTTTGTCGATGAAATTGATTTATTTAGAGAGATTTTCTTGTCCACTTGCCAAAGTGATTAATTTGTTTAAGTTAATTTACACGGATTTATTTTGAAGAAACTATAGCTGCAGTTAGTGAAATGTAACTGTCATATAGCATAGTGAAAGGAAAATACATGAAAATACCAAAGAAATAAATAATATTCTGAAAAATACACTTTTAAAGATATTCGCGAATATTCTCAGCTCTTGAGAAATTCGCGATATTTTGTAAAATTAAAGATTAAAGTTTAAAATTTTATGGAAAATTTAAATTTATTTAACATAAATGCAATTTTATTTATAAGCACTGTTTTAATTATAACTTTATAAAGTTTTGTCTTAAAATTAAAAATTTTCATATAATTATAAAATGTTCTGCTAAAATTGATTTTAACTACTAAACTACTACCAATTATAATAATACTTTACCACATTTACCACAACTTATCACAAGCTTAAAATTTCTCCCCTTTCCCTCCTATTCCTGTACCTTTTCTAACTTTAAAAATATTCCTCCCTTTGCGGTCAACACAAACGATTTCTCGTCATATTCCAATGGCACTGGTGTTTTGGGCGATAAAGTAAAATTGAAATTTTTCAATAGCAAAGCTAAACCAATCATAGCCTGCATTTTACCAAATCTTAGGCCTATGCAATTACGTGGTCCCTCACCAAATGGCAGCCAAGACATTGAATGTCTTTTGGCAATTTCTTCTTGTGTGAAACGTTCGGGTATAAATTCTGAGGGATTGGGGTAAATATCCGGATCATGATGTATGGCATCTATGGGTATAATGATAACCATTCCTTTTTCGATGGTATGGGGAGAGTTGGGTACTTTGTAATCGTTGAGAGCTTTACGCATGGTGATGGAAGCGATGGAGTATTTTCGCATGGTTTCTGAAAGAAGAGAGAAGTATTTAAGAATATATTATAGATCAGACTAAAGACCAGAATATAGACCAGATTATAGAGGACTTTATCCCAAATCATAGAATATAGATCAGAGTATAGATCAAACTATAGACTAAACTACAGACCGGAGTACAGAGCAGACTATACACCAGACTATAGGACGAATTATATACCAGATTATAGACCAAGCTATAGAAAAAACTATAGACCAGACAGTAGTCCAGACTATAGGCCATATTGTATACCATATCAAGCTATAGAAGATACTATACACCTGACAGTAGTCCAGATTATAAACCAGACTATAGACTAGATTATAGACCAAGCTAACAGACTATAGACCAACCGACTATAGAACAGTCTATAGTTCACACTAGGCCGGACAATAGATCAGCTTATAGTCTAAATTATAGACCAGACTATAGATCAGAATATAGATCTGTACATGGACTATCGATTGGACTGTAGACTAGACTATAGACCAGAATGTAGATCTCATTATAGAACATATTATAGGAAAGACTATATTCCAGGTTATAAACCAGAATATAGACAAGACTACAGACCCTACTATAGACCAGACTATAAGCCAGACTATAGACCAGACTACAGGCCAGACTATAAACCAGACTATAGACCAGACTATAGACCAGACTATAGACCAGACTATAGACCAGACTATAGACCAGACTATAGACCAGACTATAGACCAGACTATAGACCAGACTATAGACCAGACTATAGACCAGACTAAAGATCGGACTATAGACCCTTCCATAGACTAGATTATAGACCGGACAATAGAACAGCTTATAGTCGAGAGTACAGACCACACTATTTACCAGATTATAGGCCAGACTTTAGAGCAGTCTATAGGCCTGACTATAGACCAGTATATAGACCAGCTTATAGACCCAAATATCGGCCGGACTTCAGAAAAGAATGTAGATCAGAATAAGGACCAGAAAATATATTAGATTATAGACCAGAGTATTGGTCCGACTGTATTATGGACTTGACTATATACTTTCCAATATATCATTAAAAATATCTTACCAAATAATACTTGCTGCAGATACTTCAGTTCCTTAACTCCTTCATACGTCAACTCATTATTATATTTCTTCAGAACATCATTAATCTCCCGCCGTGCCTTCTTTTGAATATGCTGATTCACTGCCATTTCATATAAAGCAAAACCCATGGTACTGGAACTAGTCTCGAAACCGGCCAAAAAGAAAACAAACGCCTGAGCAGCTATTTCCTCCAAAGACAAACCCTCGGTATCATTGCGATTTTTCAATTCAATTAATAAATTCATAAAATCATTTTTATGAATCTTTTCACGTTCCCTATACTCCACCGTTTGTTTGACAACATTCATCATAAAGTCCGTAACATCTTGAGGAGCCAAGGCTATGCCCAATTTACGGGCGAGATGGGGATAAGCTTGAGCAAAGGAAAATACTAGACGGCCATGACGACGTGTGGTAAAAGCTTTTTTACCCATTAAACGAAATTGAGTATTAGGATCTTTTAGGCTGTTGCAGTCTAAACCGAAAGCACAGGAACCTATGACATCGGTGGTAAAACGAGCCAATAGCTCGCGTATTTCCAAACCTTCTTCTGTATTATTATTGTTCTCCAACAGCTGAGAGAGTACTTGCACAAACCTCTGACCCACTTCTACTACACAGGGAAACATAAATCTCATTTTACCCGAGGTAAAAGTGGGAGTCAATTTTGCTCTCATTCTTTTCCATTTGGGACCATCCAAATTGAACAAATGGCCCGAGAGCGGATCATCTTTTTCATTGTAGTAATTGCCACGAGCAGCAAAATCATTAAAATCGGTTATTAACACCTGTTGTATCAGATTCAAATCCAATAGTATAACAGCTTTACGTAAACTCAAATAGAAACCACCAAACAAGGCCTTGCCCTTGAACTTTTGATAGAAATCGTAAAAGGGCTGCTTTAAAGGTTGCGTTTTGCCCACTTGATGCATATTGCCCAAGAATATATTGGGTTTTTCGTAGACCACATTACGTTGCTCAAAATAGCTGTAATGTCGTCGTATCGCAAAATAGGCCAATGTTATTAAGGCCAACAATATTAACAAAAATTCCATGATATGTTTGTGCTTTCTGCGGACTTCTAGTCGACTGCAGTTGTTGTTTAGAACGAGAACTTGAGTGAACTAAACTGTGTAGAGAAAGCGGAGATGGTTTTTGTTGTGAGTTGCAAAAATACAAAAATCAGAACAAAACACTAAAGATTAGAGAATGTAAACGTAAAAAAGCAAGAGAAGTGATCGTAAATTATAAAACCGAGTTGCCAGGTTTTTAATTAATATAAAATTTTACAAAGTTCTTTAAATATTTAGGCAAACTTTTGATGTTGTAAAATCTTGAAAATATTTAATTAAAGCTTTTTTATAACAACGATCTAACTTTTTCAAAATGATCTTTTTCGAAATACATTTTACAAACTGGCAACCCTGTTCTGATATCTTTCGTACTAAGCTTTATTATTATCAATTTCTGTTATTCTCTCTTACGCTCTTTTTGTTGTAATTATCTCTTTTATCTTTTTTTTAATTGCATTTATATACTTTTTCCAACGACCTTTCTGCTTTATCGTCGGCCAGCTGATGATGATGCTTTCGTCATTAATTCATTTAAAAGCTTTAATTATGCATTACATTTTGTTGTTGTTGTTTTATTGTCAACTCACTGTGTGTTTTATTTTATTTTTATTTAATTCTATATCATTTAACCAAGCGTCTAAGATAAACTAACTAGATAGATAGTATTCAGTTATTTGTAATGCAAATGTTCTTGCTGTGTCATCGAGACTAGACATAAATAATTATTCCATAAAAATACTTAAATATAAATATTACTGTAACAGTTATTAAGCCTTTAATATCTGATAAGTTTGCGTTTTAAAGTACAAAGGTTTCACAGAAAAGGGTATTTTTTTTAAATTTTTAAAAGTTTTTTTTTTTTGAGGATTATATAAATTTATAATTTAGTGATAAAATGATGATTGAAAAATGTAACGTTTCTTGTAGTTAGTCATCTGATAACGAGTAAGAAATAAAAGAATATGTATGACTATAGTCATAGCTATAGAATAGACTAAACATAGTCCAGACGTTAGATAAGAAAATAGTCCTGACTATAGACTAAACAACAGACACGAATATAGTTCAGACTATAATCCAGACTAAAGACTAAACTATAGTACAGACCAAAGATTAGACTATAGTCCAGACTATAGACTAGACTACAGATCAGACTATAGTCCAGACTATAGACTAGACTACAGACCAGACTATAGTCCAGAAAATAGACTAGACTATAGTTCAGACTATAGACTAGATTATAGTCCAGTCTATAGACAAAACTAAAACTAGGATATAGCACAGACTATAGACTAGACTATAGTACAGACTATTGACTCTATTCCAGACAACAGACTAGAGCATAGTCTGGACTATAGACTAGACTATAGTCCAGATTATAGACTAGACTATTAATTACACTATATAACAAACTATAGACCAGACTATAGTCCAGACTATACACTAGACTATAGTCCATACTATACTTCAAACTATAGACTAGAGTATAGTCCAGACTATAGACTAGACTATAGTCCAGACTATAGACTAGACTATATCCAGACTATAGTCCAGACTATAGACTACACTATAGTCCGGACTATAGACTACACCATAGTACTATAGACTAGACTATAGGCCGGACTATAGACTGGACTATAGTATGGACTATAGTCTAGTCTATAGTATGGACTATATTCTAGACTATAGTCCGGGCTATAGACTAGACTATAGTCCGGACTATAGACTAGACTATAGTCCAGACTATAGACTAGAATATAGTCCATACTATAGACTAGACTATAGTCCATACTATAGACTAGACTATAGACAAGACTATAACCTAGACTATAGTCCTTACTATAGACTAGTCTAAAGTTTAGACTATAGTCTAGACTATAGTATACTCTATGGTCAGGACTATAGTCTAGCCTTTAGCCAGGACTATAGTCTAGTCAAAACTATAGTCTTAAGTCTTTAGTCTTCTAAGTTTTCGAATTTTAATTAATTTTTATTTCAAGTTTAAAAAAGCTTTGAAAATTTTAAAATCCCCTAACATTAACTTTAAGTGTGGACTATAGACTACACTATAGTCTGGACTATAGACTACACTATAGTCTGGACTATAGACTACACTATAGTCCAGACTATAGACTAAACTATAGTCAAGACTATAGACTAGACTACAGTCCAGACCATAGACTAGACTATAGTCCAGACTATAGACTACACTATAGGCTCGACTATAGACTAGACTATAGACTACACTATAGACTAGACTATAGTTCATACTATAAACTAGACTATAGACCAAACTATAGACTAGACTATAGTCCAGACTGTATACTAGACTATAGTTCAGACTATAGACTAGACTATATTTCAGACTATAGACTAGACTATAGTCCAGACTATAGACTAGACTATGAACTAGACTATAGTCCAGACTATAGACTAGTCTATAGTCCAGACTACAGACTAGACTATAGTCCAGACTATAGACTGGACTATAGTCCAGACTATAGACTAGACTATAGTCCAGACTATAGACTAGACTATAGTCCAGACTATAGACTAGACTATAGTCCAGACTATAGACTAGACTATAGTCCAGACTATAGACTAGACTATAGTCCAGACTATAGACTAGACTATAGTCCAGACTATAGACTAGACTGTAGTCCAGACTATAGACTAGACTATAGTCCAGACTATAGACTAGACTATAGTCCAGACTATAGACTAGACTATAGTCCAGACTATAGACTAGACTATAGTCCAGACTATAGACTAGACTATAGTCCAGACTATAGACTAGACTATAGTCCAGACTATAGACTAGACTATAGTCCAGACTATAGACTAGACTATAGTCCAGACTATAGACTAGACTATAGTCCAGACTATAGACTAGACTATAGTCCAGACTATAGACTAGACTATAGTCCAGACTATAGACTAGACTATAGTCCAGACTATAGACTAGACTATAGTCCAGACTATAGACTAGACTATAGTCCAGACTATAGACTAGACTATAGACTAGACTATAGACTAGACTATAGACTAGACTATAGACTAGACTATAGACTAGACTATAGACTAGACTATAATCCAGACTATAGACTAGACTATAGACTAGACTATAGACTAGACTATAGACTAGACTATAGTCCGGACTATAGACTAAACTATAGTCCAGACTATAGACTAGACTATAGTCTAGACTATTGACTAGACTATAGTCCGGGCTATAGACTAGACTATAGTCCGGACTATAGACTAGACTATAGTCCATACTATAGACTAGACTATAGTCCATACTATAGACTAGACTAGACTATAGACAAGACTATAACCTAGACTATAGTCCTTACTATAGACTAGTCTAAAGTTTAGACTATAGTCTAGACTATAGTCTAGCCTTTAGCCAGGACTATAGCCTAGTCAAAACTATAGTCTTAAGTCTTCTAAGTTTTCAAATTTTAATTAATTTTTATTTCAAGCTTAAAAAAGCTTTGAAAATTTTAAAATCCCCTAACATTAACTTTAAAAAATAATACATTTTTCCAGGTGAGTAACAATCATTCATTTCCCACTTAACACTGAAGGCAAATCTGACTACCTTACACACCACATACTAGCACCACATACTAGCCATCACTCTCCCTACCAACAACCAGGACATAGACCCATTATTTATATCTACTTTTTTACCTTTTTGACTTCTTTTTTTTTGTACTTAATGCTTTCTAACAAATGAATACTGACTGAATATGTATGTATATCCCCAACTCTAAACAAATAATGGTCATCTATTTACCAGTAAAACCCACAAAAAATAACAGAACTATAATACATGGTTTAAGTATTTAATACCGAGTTTGTTACCCTAATACCAGGGTTGGCTATTACTATTTCATGTTTGTTTTTCTATTAGATTTTTTTTGATTAACATAAGTAGAAAGGCAGCAGTTTAACATGAACCGAACCATACGTTTATTATCCTTAAACAAACATATATTTAACATGTTAGTAGATAAAATAAATGTATATTTCATCCTACTGACATCTGCCCTTTTCTTGTAGTTGTTTTTCTATATTTACAGGATTTCTTTTATTTTCTTCTTTTTTCTTCAAACTTTTCTGCTTGGTTAAATTTAAATTACCATGAATAGAACAGAAAAATATTCTGTTAAAAAAAACTCTTGTTAGTTGCTTAATTTAATAGAAAAAAATTTCAGCTTTTTTCATATAAACGGCCAATTTCCAAATAACAAAATTTCAATTTCAAAGGATATGAATATATGAGGGTTTTGATTAAAGCAGGCCGGAAAAAGGGATTTTTTTCTCTGAAAACAAATAATTTTATGAGGGTATTTATAATGTTTAATCAATTATAAGGCCAGTATGGTAGAAAAAAAAAACAACAACAATAACAACAAACAAAAACAAGGAAACTAATCATAAAAGGCATGAATAATTTAAATGAAAATTTAAAATTGGACTAGAAGTATACAAGGGGAAAAATTTAATTTAAGATGATAAACTTTAAGTTATAATGTGGTACTTTTTTAGAAAACAGGTCTAACATTGGCATATCTGCATCCAAATATATATCTGGTTCATTAGCTAGTCTTAAGCCTAGTCCAATCAATAGTTTAGTCTATAGTCTAGTCGAGCCTAGTCCAGTCTATAGTCTAGTCTATAGTCTAGTCTATAGTCTAGTCTATAGTCTAGTCTAGTAGTAGTCTAGTCTATAGTCTAGTCTAGTCTAGTCTATAGTCTAGTCTATAGTCTAGTCTATAGTCTAGTCTATAGTCTAGTCTATAGTCTAGTCTATAGTCTAGTCTATAGTCTTGTCTATAGTCTAGTCTATAGTCTAGTCTATAGTCTAGTCTATAGTCTAGTCTATAGTCTAGTCTATAGTCTAGTCTATAGTCTAGTCTAGTCTAGTCTATAGTCTAGTCTATAGTCTAGTCTATAGTCTAGTCTATAGTCTAGTCTATAGTCTAGTCTATAGTCTAGTCTATAGTCTAGTCTATAGTCTAGTCCATAGTCTAGTCTATAGTC